ATTACCAGGTATACATATGTGTGTATGTGCATGTGTGTACCACTCTTTATTATCAGGTACAGGTGTGTGTGTGTGTGTGTGTGCATGTGTGTATGCACACATGCATGCAAGCACCATTCTTTATTACCAAGTACAGGTATGTGTGTGCACACTTGCATGTATGCACCATTGTTTATTACTAGGTACAGGAGTGTGTGTGTGTACATGTGCGTGCATGCACTATTTTATTACCAAGTACACGTATGTGTGTGCACACGTGCATGCATGTACCACTCATTATAATCATGCTTAGGTATGTGTGTATGTGTGTGCAAGCACATGCATAGATGTAGGTCCTAACACCTGGGTGTTGAAATTGAATTGAAAGAGAAAATGAATTTCTCCGTCAGTTGCACAGTTTTAATTAGAATGTCACATGTGACTAAGACATTTCAACAGTTTCAGGATTTCAAAGAGCTTGACACAGACTTCTTACGTATCATGTCTCCTGCCTTGTTTTAAAAGCACATTAGATTTCACACATGAAAATTATTGACCAAAGAACCTAAAGTGGAAGTTCATTAATCATATTTTAATTGTCTTCACATATTCCTATAATACGTGATGTGTACATGAAAATTTGCATCAATATTGTTGTTAGTGATGTTTGAAATAGTTTTGACTTTTTGATTTATTTCCTAAGCAAATGATAGGTACATTTTTATATAAGTAAAGTATACATTTAAAATATTCTGTTTTTCAGATTATTTATTTGAAGAAAAGTGCAAATGACAATTGGGTAAGTTTCAAATTCCCTTAAAGCTTTTTACCTTTTATAAATCAAGTTATGATTTTACTTCTAGAAGATAATACTGAGCAACTAAATTGAAGAAAATAAATTGCTATGTAAAAGGATCACTTTTAAGTTAAAAGTGATTAAATTAATTAAATTAAAATATTGCACCAAAGGTGGAATTACTCTTCTTGTGATAATAAACACTTTGACCATTCCATACAGTCTGGTTTTAACGCATTGTTATTTTGAAAGGAACCTATACTGTCCGCAAGGGTCAGAAGGATGTGATGTGCATATACAGATATCATGGTCACAGATTCACATTTTGGGGCATTGGATTGCCCCTTGTTATTTATGAAGAAAAAAAGTTCTCTGAGTCATTTTAATCATTTGTAAAAAAATGGGGTGGATAATGCGATAAGCCCCTTCTACTTCTAAAATTCAGAGTTCTTTAAATATTTATTGAATTACTCACTACGTATTAAGAAATGAGTGATTGTGAACACTGGTCTGTGCTGCAGAGGAATTGCATGAGGTTATGAGGTATCTTTTGGGGGAGTCCCTGACAGAGAGGTGGAGGAGGCTACTTTTGTGCCTTTTGATGTTCTAGGCACTATGAAAATATTGTGAAATAACATCCATTAAGTCTTGTACCTCTTTTCTATCACTTTGCATTGAATTTATTATTTGGTATGTGTGACTTTATGTTAAAAGACATAGAAAGTGTGCCATCTAGATCTCAATGAAGCAGTATTTGTCACATCCAATACAAATAGCATATACTTACTGAAAGTTCAGACCAGGGCAGTTATTTGACCTAGCATTTTGGATGCCAGCTAGAATGCCTCCATCGCATACAGGGTATTTCGGTTGAACTGCTCTAACTGCAGCTCCTTCAATTTCCTTACTTCCATCTTTGCCCTGGCCCAGTTCCAGCTCATGTTGGATTTGGGAAGTGAAGCAGAGTAAAGGAGTTTATTCCATCGATCTGCCTCCCCATATAAATGAATATGGCAACCCAAATTCAGATGATGTACAAAGCATGTATTTACACACATTTTCAAAATATTTCTAAGATTTGTTTACTTTTTTGAATGATAGAGGGGAATGCAGAGAGAGACATTGAACATTCTTCCATCGGCCGGTTAACTGTCCAAAATGGCCACAAAGTGAGTCTAGATCTGATTGTATCCAGGATCTAGGAACTCCCCATGCAATCTCCTGTGTGGTTGCAATGAGCCATTATTCCTTGCCTCTAGATCTTGTTGGCAGGAAGCTCTGTATGAAACTTAGAGTAACTGTGACTTGAATCAAGCACTCTGATACGGGATGTTGTATCTAGTCCTGTGGTGCCATACAGATTACTAAAGGCTCATATGAGCATTTCACAAAAAGTGGAGTACATTATATCCTATCTTAGTAGCCTTATTTCTTAATGTGTTACTGGTATATTTTTGCCTTTCTAAAACTGTTTTCATTATTATCATTTTATGCTACAATTCCATAGTCCCTGGGATTTTTCTTACCACTGCCTCAAGTTACCTTCCCCTACTGAGTTCCCCTTTATTATTACTATAATACTTAATACATAAAACAACCATATGTTCATCATTAAGGGCATGGACCATGGCAAAGAGCCCAACTTTGTAGCCTTATCTTAATGTGTTACAGGTATTTTTGAAACAAATATTTTATAATTTATTTTAAGAAATCATGTTTAATTAACCTGTTTGTTTTTTCATTCTTTCCCTTATAATTTCAAATAATTTTGGTTCCACATATCAATAGTTCAATAGTTTGTTTTAGTAATTATCTTTGGCATAATTTCTTAGTAAAAATTTGTTATATGTAGGAATAATATTTACACACATGTATTTTTGTATGATGGCAAGGTTTGCAAGTAAGTGATTCATTTTGTAAATATTTATGTGGCTTATTCTTTGTCCAAGCTATTTGTACCATGCAGTTCTGTTTTTCATAAATATCAGAGTAATTAATTTTATTTTTTAAAAATGCAGACTAACTTCTTTTTATTTGTAATAAATTATAAATTAAGTGACTTTACCTGTACTTATGTGATAAGCCTAGTGAATCATATGGTTTTCCTAGTCCAAAGTTTCACAAAATGATCGCAGATGACCTGGAGATCTCTCAGAGTGAGGTTAAGCTTTCCACATGAATAGTTGTGATTATTGCATGCTGTTGATATTCACTAGGTTGTGCGAGCTTTTTTCACTGTAACATTTGATTTTATCTTTACCTCTTACTAAATAAAATGGGGTATGATTTATGCAGTGCCATGAACTTACTGGAAGTGCAACATGTGTTGATAATTTCATCCATTTTTTTTTAAATAGCATTTAGCCACATGCTGCAAAACTGTGTTAGACCTTTATGGTTTCACAAAATCATAGTGACTTTTCTGTAGAGATGATCGCCTTGAGGCAACAGTGCAAAGCTGCCATGTGTAATGATTCTGAGTCTCTGTTGCCATTGCCTGAAGCTTGCATCCTCCCACATTGCCCTTAGCATATTACTTGACTAATCAAACAGTCCTCCATCTCACATCAGAGAGCAGCATTCATTGGCAAGTGCACAAGTGATCTCCAGTTTTAGGCCCATGTCATCTGCTTACCTGAAATATTTCCTTTTTATCTGCATTTTGTTAAAGTGGATGCATACATTGATAGTGATATTTGTATGCTCTAGAATGTTCATGCTCATTTTCATCTAACATTTGTCTGCATGTTTCTCCATCTTTTGTTATTTTTTAGTGGGCAGCTCGGGTTGCCGAGAGAGAACTCCATAATTTAAAGAAAGAAAATGTATATAAAAGCAAAAAGTAAGTTTCTTAGTGGTAACACTTAACAACTTTTAGCTCTTTTATTGTTACTTTCTTAATTAGGTAATATTATAGGGATAAATAATGAAATTTCAGTGAATCCAGCATTTTTCACTGTGAAGTATTTACTCGTTTTGACCATTGTTTTAAATACTTGGGTCACTGGTATATAATTTGAAATAAACTTCACAGATTTTATGTATATTTTTATGTTTTTCAGTATTTAATATGAACTGAGCTAGTCATCTAATCTAGGATTACTAATTGAGAATGGTTAAATCTGCCTACTGAACAAGTATCTGTGCAGTGAAAAAGGCAAAAATTAAGAAGCTTCAGGAAAAACTTACAATAATGACTGAAATGTATAAAGAAAATGAAATAAAATGTCACCAGTGACAAGGATTATATGACAAGCTGCACTGGATGGCAAGAAAGCTAGACTTCAAAGCCTAAGCATATATTTCATGTTCAGTCTCTGTGATCACTGGATATTCACAATTTATGATTCATTTATAAAATATTATTTGATCTTAAATACTTTCCTCAAGAAAATGTTGAAACTAATATTTGACATTCTAAACTATTACACAAAGGCTTGTGTAATCATTATCATGTGATTCCTCAGTGTAAGATCACCTTAAATTAGATCATAATTGATGCTATCTGACTGGGTCAGGGGATTCAGTTCCATTCAATTTTGCATGCATCCACCTCTAATATGTATAAAGCTGACACTTCTCCTTTGTGCTGATTGCTCCTGCTCAGGTATTCTATGTCTTAATTAAAGTTTCATTTGTCTAGTTGATCAGGGTGACTCCTCAAGCTATACTTGACATCAGTTTTTCTATCATATATTATATTAATAAGCACTTTATGACATTTCAAATGCTAGAGAGGAACTTCTTATTAAGGAAGATTTAGTTTGCCTAATGGGATGAAAGTACACTGTCCAAAATCGAGTGGCCTCATGGGTTCTGGCTTGGTGAGGTTGGAGAACAGTATAGACACCATGTATGATGGAGTGGGCCAGGAATCAGAGAGAGACTGGAAACATACTCTCCTTCTCTGACCTGCCTCTCTAGAGATCTGTCTTCTCTTGGCAACTGTTCAGTGACCTACAACCTCTCTTTAGGTGCAACTAGCTTCTAGATGGTATGATTTGATCCTGCCTCCACCACCAATGAGCTATCATTAATCATTAGCCTCTCTTCTTTGAAAATAAGATTGATTGAATTCAGGGAGGCAAATAATAACATTTTTACTCATTTTATTAATGTATTTTGACCATTTTTATGGTCTGTCCTCTTTTTATGTGTTTATTTGGAGATTCCCAGAGCCGCTCTCCTTCCTCTCTCGTTATTCTCCCCCATACCATTTTCTCCTATATTATACTAGTATTACTTTTTAGCAGCAGTCATGAGTGCATCATTTGTTATTGAAGTGTATCATGGAACTGTAGGTATAACTAATGATATAGAATCTAGTATCAGACTGTCAAGGTGTATTTGACAGCCTTACTTGGAGTCCTCCTTTCAGTTGGGAGTAGAGATGCGAACCAAAACATATCTTACATTACTGGTGCGCTATCCTCCATTGTAAAATTCATCTATGATAATATATGTATATACTTTTTACCCATATTTTTATTCTTTTTTGTATTTTGTGTGCGTGTTTCTCATCAGAGAAAACATATTATTTATTTTGTGGGTAGACTGGCCTATTTATATGCATTTACAAATGAAAGATTGGTACAAATGGTTCAAGTTCATTGTTATAGTTGTGCGATATTCCAAAAAGTAGAAGCACCACATTGTTTTTGTTTAGTATAAACAATTCCACTTTCAAGGATATCTGGATTGTTTGCATTTCTTTGCTATCGTGGATTGTGCTGCTGTAAATATAGGTATACAGGCCACTTTCTCATATTCAGATTTCAATTCATGTGGATATATTCCCAGAAGTGGGATACTCAATCATATGGCAGATCAGTTTCCACTTGCCAAAGCACTCTCCATACTGATTTCCATAGTGGCTGGACAAGGTACACTCCCCACCAGTGTGGAGCAGGTGTGCTTTTTTCCCTCATTCTTATGAGAGGTGGTATTAGTAGATTTCTGTGTGTAGGTCTTTCTCACTGGAGGGAGGTGGGACATCAGTATGGTTTGTATTTGCATTTCTCTAATGGCTATGGAGCCTGAGCGCTTTTTCATATGTCTGCCAGTCATTTGAATTTATCCTTTTGACAAATTCTGCTCATGTCCTCCATCTACTTCTTAATGGAGTTGTTTGGCTGTTGTTTGAGTATCTGAAGCTCTCAGTAAATCTTGGATGTTATTCCACTATCTGTTGTATATCGTGCAAAGAATCTTTTTTTTTTTTTTTCCATTTGGTTGATTTACAGACTGTTTTTCTCCAAACTCCCCACTATTATTCTGGTGTAATCCGTTACCACTTATACCTGAGCCATTCCAATAGCTTCATGAGATCTTCCCATTTCCATTGTTGCCTTCAAAGAATCATTCCCTGGCTACCTAATTAAAACATGTGAAACCCCTTTCCCTATTCTATCTTTTATATTTTTTCATAGCCCTTATTATTTTTGTTTGTTGTCCTTATTGTCCTGTGATTATTTTTTAAAAGCATTTTCACATTTAAGGTAAACTTCATGAGTGAATGGTGTTCTCCTGTTTTGTGTCTAAAGCTATGCAAGCCTGAATACATGTGAGACTGAAATCAGAAAACATGTGAGACTGAAATCAGAAACCCAGAGCTTCTTTCAGAGCTCCCAGTTGAGTGCAGGAGCACATCTACCTAAGCACTCCTGTGCTGCTTTCCAGGCTGCATTAGCACAGAGCTTTGTTGGAGACCAGGAAGCAGCCAGGTCTTAAACAAGCATCCATATGGAATGCTAGTGTCACAGGCAGAGGCTTAACATACTATACCACAGTGCCAGCCTCAGAAATTTCAATTATGAAATATTTCCGTAGCTCATGTTTTTTATCATAAAGGGCAACAAAATACAATTTGATGTTTCATTAGTAAATTAATTAGTAAATTAATGATGGGCATTCCTGGCTAATTTTTACTTTCTGTTTTTTAAAAAAATTTCTGCTTGGTAACATTTGTAATATAACATCAGTGCTAACTAGTAATTTATTAAGCATATATTTCCAGGTGAGATTGAGCAAGGCAAAATAAATATCAGTTCTCATTGTATGAGCAAGTGTCTAATACACAGTATGTATTGTGCCACATTTTGGTGGTTGTTAGTTAATTAGCTACTTACTGTGATGCCCAAGCATAGTACACTGTGATGCCCAGGCATAGTACTGAAATGTCTTGCACTGTCCTAAGCATAAGCATGATATTATGTTTTTTCTTTTTTAAAGAGAATGTATTTGTGTCAGATAAATTTTGTTTTGGCATTAATTACAGTGCTATTGACTCTGAGCCCAATGTTAATAAGTCAATAATACTATATTAAATGAATCAAAACTCAAGCAAACCTAGAATATAGTAAGTATTGGTTGACTGATGAAAGTGTTTTGTTATAATCTAGCAGAAATGTTGCCTTGTGTTTTCCTTAGAAGTAATGATACACCATTTAACACTTCAGGATTTTTTTTTACTGATGAAGTATTTTCTTAATTCCTTTTGTGGTCTAAAGTTAGACACCAGGGAACACAGAATTACTGAGAGAACGAGAAAGAAATTTATCGAAAGAGAGCAAGGAAAATGAACTAGCTGCTGGTTCATTCCGCAGAAGTCTGTAAGGCCACAGAACTTCTCCCGGACAGAGATCTGTCTACTGTTTTCCTCCTAGGATAGCTGAAACAATCAGGGCTGGGGCGGAGCACACAAGCTTCATCCTGGTCGCCCATTTGGGTACTAGGCATCTCAGATATCAGGTACCCTCCTTGCAGAGCTGACTTAGTCATTAATATGAGTATCTGCAATGCATATGAGCAGCTTATGTTAAAATCTAAGGGCCCTATAAGTACATACTATTGCAAGTAGCATGCACACTAATAGAAATAGGCAGTACTTATTATACTACTAACATAATTGACTTTGGGTGTAGTATGATTTTGCTTCTTTCTGATTTGAACCAGAAGCCAACTCAAGACTTAAAACTGATTTAAAATGATTTATTCATTTACTTATTTGAAAATCAGCATTAGAGAGAGGGAGAGGAACCTTGCTTCTGCTGGCTGATACTTCACATACCTGCAGCAGCCAGGGCTGTGCCTGGCTGAGGATCTGCATGTGGGATTTCCCACATCATTAGCCACCAATCTAAAATGACTTAAACATGCTTTGTTGTGGCTGACTCCTGTGTATCAAATATAATGCTGCTTTATATAGGAAGTCTGGGTAAATAGTATTTAAACATGTTATTTCATTTATTTTATCTTTTAAAATTGCATTTCATTTTATGACACAATTTCAAAGGCTCTGGGATACCCCTAACCCCTCCACATACACATACCCTTCCCCATGGTGGATTTCTCCACCTTCTTGCAGTAATAGAAAAATCCAGTCAAGATTCTTTCATTGCAAGCATGTACCATGCATATAAATTCCAGCATCTTATTGTCCATATAAATTCAACAATTTCTTGGGGAGACCAGCTGTGGTCTGGAAGCAGAGCAGGTAGAATATCATCTTGATCAATTAAAGACACAACATAACATCGACAATAATTTACAGCATTATGGAGTTAATTGACATGGTATTGAGTAACCAATATATTAGAAAATGCGGGTTTTTAGCCACATCCTGTGATTACTTCATTGACATTTCTATTTTAGTTTATACACAGCTGGCTGCTATACACCTTAAAATGGCTATAGGGTACTATTCAGCTGTCTCATGTCTATTTTCATTTTAGTATTTAGCAGTTTATAGTGTTGAAGCATAATTTTTACTGAACTTGGCAGATTTTAGATAGTCTAAACTGGCTTATAACTCTAACAAGGCATATGTCAACAGTTGAGGTACAGAACAGTTTTAGGAGGGGTGTACAGAGAAATCTTCAATACCTTAGTGAGGAGTAACTTATCTTTATGTCCTATCTGGTAAGGTATATGTGAGTCCTAGCTGACCTTTTTCTGTCTGGTTCTAAGCTTTCCTTGTTTTTCTCTGACTATCTAATCTAATTTGGGGAGGAGAGTGGCTCTGGAGCGACCCTGATGGTTATTGCAAGAGAGGTTGGGGATCCAAAGTGGAACTAAGTATGGAGCAGAGAAAGCTCCGCTCTTGAGTTTCAAAGGGAATTTACTGTTCTTCTCTTTCTGCGGACTGCTCAGGGCTCCTCGCCTTTTAGACCCTGTGAGGAAGAATCTGGGCTTCTTCCAACCCATGTGGGAGTTCTTGGCCTACCAGGGCAGTCCAATTCCCTGTGGTCTCCCTGACAGTTGGGATATAGCTCTGGATGCCTGTACTGATAGTTCTTGGTGAGGATCTAGGAGTCTCCAGGGTTGGTATACAAGCCTCCTCCTGTCCACCTGCTCCACTTTGGGGTCCCCCCACCCCGCTCTGTGCATTTGACCTCCTGTTAAGAGGTTGTCAGGATCACTCTTGATTCCTCCAGTATGTCTTTATGGTTTTGCTAATGTCTAATGCTGATTCGAGTTTGTTATCTATAAGTTATCTGTTATATTCATTTTTTACCTTTTCAATCTTATTTCTGTGCCAAATTCATTCACAAAACTCAGGAGACTGTTGTGATAACAGGATTATTTTAAGAGTTGTTGCTTTGAAATTTGAGTGTGTAATGTTAATTCTACATCAGAAATGCTTGCATATTAGTTATTCATGCTGTGTTTGCAGTGGTAATTATGGATAATTTTATGGGAAACTCCAGTTTTGATACAGTTAAAACACTATAAGTCTTTATGACATGCCTTCAATGTATTATAAATTTTCATTTTTGCTTTAAGGAACCTGCTGATCGAGGAACACTGCCACATAGAAGAAAAAACCATCTCGATTGCTGATGCAAATTTCAAATCTACAAGAGGAGTTGACTTATATTGGTATTAATGCTTTTTCTTTTGTGTCCTGGAGAATAGCCAGAAAAATATTTAAGCAGCCAAATATAAGTAGCCTATTTGGCTACTTTTTAATTCCAAGTTCTTGCTGTTGTGAAATCCCATACAAAATCTTAAAAGGAAAAACAATACCCTCACGCATGTGATTTTTAATCTCATGTTTGAGTATGGACCAGTATTACCTATTACATCAAGGAATTTATGAATAGACACTTATTTCAAGGTTTAACTCTTTAGTTCCAATGAAGAAGAATGTGTAGGATATGAAGGGATTCAGCAATTACATTATAAAGAATATATGAACCATAATTAGTATTATTTGTATAGGTTTATAAGAGAGTAAGTTTAGTTTTTACTTTGGAGCTTTCCTTACTTGGCCAAAGGAATACTGGAAAGCCTAAAGACAAAGGGTAAGATTCAGCTGTAATTGCATACTTGCAGTACTTCATTATATGTCAGGAAGAGTAAGGATGTGTTGGGTCTTATTTCAATGAAGGAAGTAGCTGGTTTGTCCTCTTTTTTGATTTATTCACTTGAAAGACAGAACAAAGATAGAACCTGGAGGTAGGGGTAGAGTAATACACACACAAGCACACAGAATGGGAGAGAATGACCCTTCCATTTGCTGATTAACTCTCCAAATGGTCACAACACCCAAGGCTAGGTCAGTCTGAAACCAGGAGCCAAAAGCTTCCTTTGGAACTCCCCCATTGATAAAAGGGCATGAACATAGAGCCAGCATCCTTTACTTTCTCAAGCACATTATCGCAGTGCTGGATTGTATGTGTAGTAGTAGCTAGGATTTAACAGGTATCCATATAGTTATCAGGTGATGTAGGTTGCCCTCTGTGCCACAGCATCAGTCCCATAAGATATATAATTTTGTGAGGAAAATAATTCATTTCCTATAGCCATTTAAACATTATGAATATCTGGATGAATCTTCCATCATGCACTTACAATATTGTATGAAACATTGTTTTAGGAAAGTTTAATGAGTAGAATTTACATTAGATAAAGAAAAAATGAGAATTCTATTTGATATTTCTCAGCATGTGCAGTTTTTGTTATTTGTTCCAGGAAATAGATTGTTCTTGATGTTGTAATGTATATTTTTAAAGTAGAGTATATTATTTTATTACGGTGATTACATATGAATAATTGAAAATTTATATCTTCTAAACAGTAAAAAAGCCAAAGATACTGAAGAAAGAGTGAAAAGAACCACTGTTTATTACCAAGGAAGGGTAAGTGTGTGTGTGTGTGTGTGTGTGTGTGTGTGTGTGTGTGTGTGTGTGTGTTTATTCATTGTGTGAGTGTTGTGCATGTTTAGGTGTGTATGTATATATTTATTGGAGCCTGTGTCTTTATGTAGAATGGAAAGGGAAAAGTGATTCCTTTACTAGTTTTATATCTTTCTTGATGTGTTACATGTGGTATTCATTCATTTCCATGTTTTTGGTGCTTCAAAGAATGTGTAATAAAAAAAATCTCATGTCACCATGTCTCCCGTCTTTGGCAAAAAAAAAAAAAAATTACATTGCAGAAATAAAAATAGATTCTAACTCACCAGTTAGGTCACATATTCAACCAGGCTGGTTATCTGTTAATTGACAGTTTCTTTTGTGGCTGATTACTGACAAGGGATCATAAAACAAAAGCGTATGAATTACAAATTTTAGCTGCTTTTAGTGTACTTACACACAATTGATGATGTGTTCATGAAATTATGCATTAAGTTTTGTTTACTGACACAAAATGTGTGTGGAATATTTCTTCGCTTGTGAGTTACTTCCTATGTTAAAGACAAGATGTTCTTTTAGTTTAAGAAAACTAATTTTCAAGCATTCTGTTTTTCAGGTTATTCATTATAAGAAAAAAGCCCACAATAATTGGGTAAGTTTCAAATTGCCTTAAAGATTTTTCTATTTCTTAAAATAAATTTTGCTTTCCCTTCAGGAAGATAATACTGGGGATTTAAATTTATGAAAAAGATAGTATCTAGAAACCAATAGTGATATTACATTCTATTTGCAGAAATAATACATTATCAAATGGTGGTTGTTCCTACAGTCTTCTTTCAGCACTTTTCTTCCTCAAAAGTAGCCTAGAAGAGGGTAAGAGGGTTAGAAGAACTTGGTGCATATGCTCATGTTTATGTATTTACATTTTGTTACATTGGATTGCCCCTTGTTATCTAGAGGAGCCAGAAAGGTCTCTGCACCATTTTACTCATTTGTGAAATAAATGGGATTAGAAAAAGAGCTAGCTAAAGCCCTTTCTAGTTCTAAAATTGAGAATTCTATTAAGTGTTGGTACAAATTAAGAAAAGGGTCAACTGGGGAACTAGTTGTCTGCACTGCGGAGGAACTGCATGATGAGGACGTGAAGTGGCTGTAACTTTGAGCAGTTAGAAGGAAGAACAGAGATGGAGCTGTTGGCAGTAGCTGTCCACTGGGGAGTGCCTGTCACAGGGAGGTGGAGACAGCATTCAGGGATGTTTGTCAGATGCTTGACACTGATAAGCATGAAGTCAATGTTAACTGGTGTTACCATTGCTATTACAGTGAAGAGAAGTCTGAGAGGAGCATGGAATGAGAGAGTGGTATATTGAATGTCAGGTCCCTCCCCTTTCTGACATTCTGTTTGTTTTGGTTTCAAGAGTTCAAGTGAAGATTCATTAGCGAATTAGCTAGGATCATTATAGATTCGGTTTTCTTCACCGTATCTCACCACTTTCTAAATACTTATGCTTATTATTTTCAAAATTTATTCATTTTATGTGAAAAGACAGATTTACAGAGAACAGGGATACAGAGAGAAAGATCTTGCATCAGCTGGTTGACTCTGCAGGTGGTCACAATCGCTGGAGCTGAGCCAATATAAAGCCAGGAGCCAGGAGCTTGTTTTGAATCTTCCATGAGAGTGTATGGTTTCCCAAGCCTTTGTGCCATACATTACTGGTTTTCCCAGGCCACAACCAGGGAGCTGGATGGGAAGTGGGGCAGCTGGAACATGATCTGGTACCCATATGAAATCTTGATGCATGCAAGGCAAGAATTTATTTTTTAAAGGTGAAGATGATGTGTATTAAATTCTTGCTATTTTAGGCAAGATACTTAAAAGTAGTTTGCACATGTTCCTAACTAAACCCGTTTAATAAGTATAAATTGGATTATACCATTTCAGATTTTATAATGACAAAACAGCCCAAGATCACATAATTAGATAGTGAAGGCTAGAAATAGAAATTATAGTCTGTTAGAGTCCAGTCTTATACATATTCTATTAGTTTTTGTGGAATTTATTGTTTGGTAAGTGTGACTTTAACATTAGTACATGCAGAAGGTGTGCCTTCTACATTTCAGGAAAATGGTATTCTGTAGATTTAAGAAAAGTAATATAGACTTACCGAAACAATCAAATCAGCACTGGCATTTGTTCTGGTGTTTTAGAATGCCAATTAGGTTGCCTACATCACATACAGGAGGGGTAACTTGGTTCGGCTACTGATTGCAGCTCCTGAGATTTCCTTACATATATTTTGCCCTGGGCCAGGTTCCCTGTTGTTGAGTATGCAGAGTGAAACATTGGTTGAGTGCTCATTATATAGATCTTCTCCTCACATAAGTAACTACAAAAGTCATCGTTCAGATGAAACAAAAATTGTGTGTTTTGTGTTTGTGTGTACTTTTTGAAAACCATTTTCAAGGATTATTTACTTGAATTCTGGGAAAAGGGATTAAATGAGAAAGAGAGAGAGAACAATGATTTATATTTTTTCATTCTTCAAAGACCACAGAGACCTGAGCCAGTAGCTTCAGGCCTCCTAGGTGTGTGGCAATGATCCATCCCCCCCTCCCTGTAAGGCACATTGGCAAGAAGTTCTTTGTGAAGCTTAGAGTAACTGTGACTTGAATCAACAACTCTGATATGGGATGATGGTAAAACATAGAGATGGCTGAAACTTCTGAGCTACAATGGTTATGAAAATTTAACAAGAAAGGGGCTGTACTATATCTTATTATTTGCATCCTGAATTCTTAATATATTACTTTAATATTTACTTACTATTACTTAATATATTACAGAACTTCTAAAGAATATTTCACAATTTGTTTTTTACAAAAAGGCAGCTTTCACACTTGATGAACTTTGTTCTGTTTCTACTTTGTTTTTCTTATAATTTCAGTTGTTTATTACTTGTTTGACCTTTCTCCACCCATTTAGAGTTATTGCCTTCTTCCTTTGAACCTACACAGAGCTGTCCTGTATGTCTGGTGATGAATATGTCTTGTATGCCTGGTGATAAATTACTGAGGTCATTTGTACAAAACTTTTTAAACTAATATACCTAAAACTAAGAAATTTTATGTATTCCAATGCATATTTTAAAAGCATGATACTTAGCCACATTGTTTTTCCCTCCATCCTTTCTTATTGTTCTATTTTAGCTTTTACAGTGATTTAGTTCCATTTTACAGTGATTTACTTCCATTTACTATATAACAAATTGTACCTTCCTTTAAATTAAAAACTCCAAAAACAATAAATAGAAAATGTAGTGTTCCTCTGGAATACAAAGGCCAAGAAAATTACCAAAATTCAAAATACCATGTACATATATGTGTGTGTGTACGTATCTATACATTCATATATGTATATTTTTCAGCTCTGTCAATTATCCACAAATAATTGAACACATAGCATGTCTTTTGGAAACCTTTTTTTTTTAAGTGTAATGGTCTCCATTTCTGTATGTATTGTGAAAGACAAGGTTTCATTTTTTTAAATAATTGAGTACTATTAACATATCTGTGAAAGTGAAATTATTTATAAAAAACTATTTGAGAGAATAATTAGGATATTAATGAAGCGGGGGGGGAAGAGGTGAGGAAGGACATAAATATGAATAAGAGTGAAACTGGTGTTTCAGTCCACTGAAGTAAACTACTCAGAGCTTGGATGCTTGAAGTTGAGAACTTGGACCTCAGTCTACATCTCCATTATGAATGACAAGGGATCCAGACTTAACAGTTATCATTGTCTCCTAAGACTAAAGTGGGACATGGCTGTCTTTACTGGCAGCTTGCCTTCAACGCCCAACAACAGCCCTTACTGTGATCATCCTTTGTGTCTTTACCCTGAGAGAGTTTCAAGTTCCATTAGTGAGCGAATGTCACTGTTTCCTTAGCAGACCTCTTAGAAGGCTTTGTAGATGGGAGTGCTCAGTGCTTGAACACAGTGTTTTGGCGTATAACATAGTCATTGGCTGAAATTTGTCTTAACCTTTGAGAATAAGCTGTAGACTCAGAAGTAGGTGGGCAGTTCATGTGGCAGTAAAGATGCTGCTTAGGATACCTGGTCCTCTGTTGGGCTGCCTGATTTAAGTCCAGGCTCCTCCGCTTCTTATCCAGCTTCCTGCTAATGTGCACCTTAGGCTAGAGCAGCTGATGGTTGAAGAACTTGGTGCCTGACACCCATGTGGAAGACCCAGATTGAATCCTGGGTTCTTCTTTAGTCTGGCCTGTCTCTGGCTGTGTGGCCGATGAGGAGTGAACTGGTGTTGGAAAAAAAATCTCATTACTATTCAAATAAAAGAATAAGAAAGGGCTTGTGATTATTGCATGCTGTTGATATTCACTAGGTTTTGCAAGCTTTGTTCACTGTAACATTTGATTTTATCTTTACCTCTTACTAAATAAAATGGGATATGATTTATGCAGCGCCATGAACTTACTAGAAGTACAACATGCATTGATATTTTTTATATTTTTAAATAGCATTTAGCCACTGAAACATTTGATTTTATCTTTACCTCTTACTGAATAAAATGGGGTATGATTTATGCAGGGCCATGAACTTACTGGAAGTGCAACATGTGTTGATAATTTCATCCATTTTTTTAAAAAAAAAATAGCTTTTAGCCACATGCTGCAAAACTGTGTTAGACCTTTATGGTTTCACAATATCATACTGAATTTTCTGTAGAGATGATCACCTTGAGGCAACTATGCAAAGCTGCCATGTGTAATGATTCTGAGTCTCTGTTGCCATTGCCTGAAGCTTGCATCCTCCCACATTGCCCTTAGCATATTACTTGACTAATCAAACAGTCCTCCATCTCACATCAGAGAGCAGCATTCATTGGCAAGTGCACAAGTGATCTCCAGTTTTAGGCCCATGTCATCTGCTTACCTGAAATATTTCCTTTTTATCTGCATTTTGTTAAAGTGGATGCATACATTGATAGTGATATTTGTATGCTCTAGGATGTTCATGCTCATTTTCATCTAACATTTGTCTGCATGTTTCTCCATCTTTTGTTATTTTTTAGTGGGCAGCTCGGGTTGCCGAGAGAGAACTCCATAACTTTAAGAAAGAAAATGTATATAAAAGCAAAAAGTAAGTTTCTTAGTGGTAACACTTAACAACTTTTAGCTCTTTTATTGTTACTTTCTTAATTAGGTAATATTATAGGGATAAATAATGAAATTTCAGTGAATCCAGCATTTTTCACTGTGAAGTATTTACTCATTTGACCATTGTTTAAAATACTTGGGTCACCTGAGTATTTAATTTTCCTGCATAATGCTTTTTGCATTATATAATTGGTTCCACTTCCCTTTTCCCTATGCAAATTACTAGTGCCCTGTTATCCCTCGTCTTCATGAAGAAATGTCATTTGCCTTATTGTCAAGTTGACTGCTAAAGCAATGCTTTTCTTCTGTTACATGTATTGGTAAGATTTTTGTGATGTTATAATACTTGAGAGGAACTTCTTAGGAACGTAGATTTATTTTGCCTCAGAGGAGACACATCATCAAAAATTGTGTGATGTTTTGTGTTCAAGATCTGTTGTGGCACCTGTACAATAGATAGCCATTCATTATACAACCAAGTAGTCTCTTACTCCATCACTATACATTCCCTTAAGCCAGAAATAAGTTTGATAACAAATATGATGTTAAAGCAAAGACAAAACTAAACAAAAATACAGTATCAAAGATGCCATTGAATAACCAATTCATAGGTGATGAAAAGAAAACACAAAAGTCTACTTTTCATGATGGTTTCCTTATATTAGAACATATGGTATTTATCCCTTTGGGTTTGACTTATTTCACTGAAGATGATGGTCTCTAGTTGTGACCATTTAGTTGCAAATGATATAATTTCCTTCTTTCTATTGGCTGAGTAATACTCCATAAAATAGAGGTACCACTCTTTATTTAACCACTCCTCTTTGGATGGGCATCCGGATTGTTTCCATGTATTTTCTACTGTAGATTGTGTTGCTGTGAATATAGGATTACAGCTCCCTCTCATACATGCAGTATTCATTTCCTTTGGGTATATTCATTCCTAGGAGTGGGATACTGGTTCCTGAGACAGGTTCATTTGCAATTCTCTAAGTGCTATCTATACTGATTTCCATAATTGCCATACTAGCCTGTACTCCCACCAGCCATGAAGGAGGATATTTTTCTTCCCACTCCCCTGCAAGCAGGTGTTGTTAGTTGAGTTCTGAATGTAGGCCAGTCTGAATGGAGTTAGGTGGTACCTCAGCATGGTTTTAATTTGTATCTCCCTGACTGCTAGGGAGACTTAGTATCTTTTCATATGTCTGTTAGCCATTGGATCTCTTCTTTTGAAAAACCTCTGTTCATTTCCTTTGCCCATTTTTCACAGGGTTGATTATTCATTCATTCATTCATTCATTCATTCATTCATTCATTCATTTTTCTGTTCCTGGGTTTCTGAAGCTCTTTGTAAATCCTGGACATTAGTCCCCTATCACCTGTGTAATGTGCAAAAATTTTCTCCTATTCTGTTAATTGCCTCTTCATTTTGTTAATCATTTCTTTTGCTGTATGGAAGATTTTTAGTCCCATTTATTTATTTATTTTGTCTTTGACTACCTATGATTTTGGGGTCTTTTCTAAGAAGTCTGGTTCCATTCCTATTCGTAGGAGAGAGCTCCCTCTATTTTTCTTTAATACTTTGATGGCTTCTGGGTGTAGATTTAGGTCCTTGAACCATTTAAAGCTGATTTTTGTACAGCGTGGCAAGTGCAGGTCTTATTTCTTGATTCTGCAGGCTGCTATCCAGTTGTCCCAACAGCATTTGCTGAATTGCCAAGAATTTTTTTTTCCTGGATTATTTTCAGTTTTCTTGTCAAAGAGTAGTTGGTAATACATGTGTGGGTTCCCTTCTGATATTTCGATTCTATTCCATTGATATTCTCCTCTGTTTCTGTACCAGTACTAGACTGTGTTGATGACTATTTCACTGTAGTATGTCTTGAGGTCTGGAATTGTGACTCCTTCTGCTTGATTTTTATTCTTCAGGATAGCTTTGGCTATTCGTGGTCTCTTGTGCTTCCAGAAGAATTTTTGTATCTTCTATTTCTGAAAGAATGCTGCTGGGATTTTAATTGGGATTGCATTGAATCTCTATATTACTTTTGTGCTTCCAGAAGAATTTTTGTATCTTCTATTTCTGAAAGAATGCTGCTGGGATTTTAATTGGGATTTCATTGAATCTGTATATTACTTTTGGTAATATGGACATTTTGATGATGTTGATCCTGCCAATCCAGGAATATGGTAAATTTCTCCATTTTTCAATGTCTTCTTCTATTTTCTTTTTAAATGTTTTATAATTTTCATCATAGAGGTCTTCCACATATTTGGTTAGCTTAATACCTAGATATTTAAGATTCCTCTCTGCTTTAGGGACTGTATTTACAATTTCCTTCTCAGCCATGGAATTATTTGTGTACACTAGTGCCATTGATTTATGTTCATTAATTTGTATCCTGCTACCCTGCCAAAGTCTCTTATGAGATCCAGTAGTGTCTTGACTGAGTTTTTTGACTCTCCTATGTAGAGGATCATGTCATCTGCAAATAGAGATACTTTCAGTTCCTCGTTTCCAACTTTAATTCCTTTGATTTCATTTTCTTGCCTAATAGCTTTGTTACGGACATCCAATACTATGTTGGATAATAATGGATGGTGACAGTGGACATCCCTGTCTAGTTCCAGATTTTAGTGGAAAGACTTCCAGTTTTTATCTATTTAGTATAATGCTGGCATTGGCTTTGATTGTGCTGTAGAATGTTCTTTCTGTGCTGATATTGCTTAGGGTTTTCATCATATAGTGGTGGCGAATCTTATCAAATGCTTTCTCTGCATCTATTGAGATGATCATTTTTTTTTCAATTTGTTGATATGATGTATCACATTTATAGATTTATGAATGTTGAACCTTTCCTGCATGTCTGGGCTGAATCCCACCTGGTCCAGGTGAATGATCTGCCTGATGTACTGTCGGTTCCTGTTGGCTAGTATTTTGTTGGGGATCTTTGCATCTTTTTTCATCAAGGATATTGGTCTACATTTCACTTTTTCTGTTGTTTTCCATCTGGCTTTGGTATTAAGGTGATATTAGATTCATAGAGTTTGGAAGGATTGCCTCCATTTCTGTTGTTTGGAAAAACTTGTGGAGAATTGGAATAAATCCTCTTGAATAGTTCCCCTTGAAAAGTTTTTTTAGAACTCAGCAGTGAAACCATCTGGTCCAGGACTTTTCTTGGTTAGCAGGGTTTTAATTTTGAATTCAATTTCAGTCCAATGTATAAATGTATTTAGGTTGTGAATTGCTTCTTGATTTAGTTTTGTGGCTGTATGTGTCCAAAAAATCTGTCCATCTTTTCTGCGTCTTCTGATTTGTTTGCATATAATTGCTTGTACTAGTTCCTAATATTTTCCTGTGTGTCTGGGCTATGTATTGTTATATTTTTTCTTATCTCTGATGCTATAGATGCTTATCTTCTCACTCCATTTTTTGATCAGTTGGGCAGGTGGGGAGTCTGTTTTGTTGATTTTCTCAAAGAACCAGCTCTTTAATTTATTATTCTCATATATAATTCTTTTGGTCTCTCTTTATTTAATTTCATTCCTTATTTTGATTATTTCATTTTTTTCTACTTATTTTGGATTTCTTTGCTGTTGTTGTTTGGATCCTCCAATTGCAGGGTTAACTCATTTATTTGGTTCCTTTCCAGTTTCTTAACATAAGCATTGACTGAGATGAACTTTCCTCTTAACACTGTCTTGATTGTGTCCCAAAAGTTTTGGTTTGTTGTGTTGATGCCTTCATTTGTTTCAAGCATTTTAAAAATTTTCCCTTTGATTTCCTCTCTAATCCAGCAATCATTTAGTAACATATTATTCAGTCTCCATGTGTTTGCAAGTCTTCTTGGGTGTTTTGACTTTTGGTCTCTATCTTCACTCCATGATGGTCTGAGAAGATGCGTGGTATGATTTCAATCTTTTTTTTAATTCATTGAGGCTTGTTTTGTGGTCTGTAACATGGTCAGTTCTGGAGAAGGTTCCATGTGCTGATGAAAAAAATGTGCATTCTCTGTAGGGTAAAATTTTTGGTAGATATCAAGTAAACCCATTTGTTCTACAGTTTGGGTGATTCTGTTGTTTCTTTGCTGAGTTTCAGTCTCGTCGAACTGTCCTTTGATGTTAATGTGGTATTAAAGTCCTCACTATGAATGTATTGCAGTCTATTCCTCCCTTTAAATCCATCAATATTTGTTTCACATAGCCAGATGCCTTAGCATTTGGTGCACGTACATTTATTATATTGATCTCTTCTTGCTGAATGGATCCTTTGATCATTAGGTGGTGTCCTCCTTCATCTCTTTTGATGGTTTTCACATCAAAATCTATGTCATCTGATATAAGAATAGCTTCACCCACACGTTTTTCTTTACCAGTTGCTCGAAATATCTTTTCCATCCTTTCCCTTTCAGTTTCCTCTGATCTTTGTTGGTGAGATGTGTCTCCTGCAAGCAACAGCTAGATGGAGTTTGTCTTTTGTTCTAGTCCTCTAATCTATAGTGTTTGATTGATATTTTTAAGCCATTTACATTCAGTGTTAATATGGATAGGTTTCAGTTTGGTGCTGTCATTTTAGCAATGGGTTGTTATTTGATTTAGTCTTCTGCTAGTCTTTTAGTGGGATGTTCTTCAGATTTGCCTTTGGTTTTGGTAGTTGCTATTCCTTTTTGCTTTCACGAGAACATCTTTCATTTCATTTGCAAGACAAGTCTAGAAAGCAGTTTCTTGGATTTATCTTTGCTGTGGAATAATATTATTTCATTTTCAAAGACAAAGAAAAGTTTTTCAGGATATGGTACTCTGGGCTGAAAATGTTTCCCTTTTGAATCTGGAATAAGTCACTCAATTCTCTTCTGGCATTTAGTATTTCCTCTGAGAGGTCAGCTGTGAGTCTGGGGTTCCTCTATAGGTCATTCATTTTTTTCTTTTACGTGCGCATTTCCTTATGTCCAACTGAAGAGAGCTTGATTACATGTGTTGTGGTGAGGT